AACCCAGCTTCTTGGATTATTTGCTCAGCATACAGGTTGACTAAGTATGGTGAAAGAATACACCCCTTTTGCACACCTTTCTTAATTTTAAACCATTCAGTGTTCCCATGTTCTGTTCAAACAACTGCCTCTTGGTCCATGTAGAGATTCCTCATGAGCACAATTAAGTGTTCCAGAATACTCATACTTCACAGTGTTGTCCATAGCTTGTCATAATCCTGATCCACACAACCGAAAGCCTTTGCGTAGTCAATAAAGCACAGGTAAACATCTTTCTGGTAGTCTCTGCTTTCAGCTGAGCCACATCGGAGCATCAGGTGGAATGGAACTCCAAAATGAAGAGTGACAGTGTTGTTAGGGGGTAGGGGAGAAAGCTGATGAAAAGGACTCAGAGGGTGAATGTTGCCTGTGCATTGAGGCAGCAACATTCAAAGTACAGGTTTCAAGGGTCCCAGAAATGCTCTTCTTACTGTTTTCTGACAGTCAAGATGGAAATAATAGTAACAGTTAGGCATATTATCTGCTATTCTGTTAGGTAATTTATGTTACTAGCTTATTTAACTTTTTAAACAACCCAGTTGAAACAGTTTGTCCTATGGTGCTGAGGGCTAATGCGTTGGACTTCAAAGTCAATTTGAACCTCAAGGTCGGCAGTTCAAGCTCAGCAGTTGTTCCTTGGAAACCCTATACAGGGTCGCTATGGGTTGGAACTGACTCGATGGCACTTAACTGGAACCCATAAGCAACTTGAACATGGTCCCAAAGCTAGTAAGTGAGGAAGACAGTATTCAAACCCTGATCTGTATCATTCCAAAAAAAGACAGAAAAACCAGAGCAATGAAAGTTTTATGAGAGTAAGGACACTGCCTTGTTTGTAAAAGTCTTAGTGTCCAGATGGTACCTGATACATGGTAGAGTCCCAATAAATAGTTCATGAAGGAATGAATGAGTGATGTCAGCATAGTAACAGAGATTTGTATGTATTTTTTTAAATTAGTACTTATTGTGTGTGTGTGTGTTAATACTTAATATCTTAAACATTTTCCTAGGTTACCTGTGGCTCACACCTGCTTCAATCAACTTTGCCTTCCCCCCTACAAGAGCAAAAAAGACCTGAAACAGAAATTGATCATTGGAATTTCAAACTCAGAAGGTTTCGGACTTGAGTAACCTAGAAGACTTGAAATACAATACTTTTTTATATGTAGCATTCACTTCCCTCTTATTGTGCCTTTAACCTTTTCATGTTTCTGTCTCAAACACCTTGACAAAGTTCACCAATTTTAAAATACTGATTTTCTAAAAATCAAATACGAAGTATTTCAATGAAGGCATGATTTTCTAAAAACACAGAAATTGCTTGACAGAGGAGAAGACCAGATAGCACAGAGAAGTGTGGGTCCAGTCCCTCTTTTTTATATAGCACTTCATCACCCCCGATAAGTCGTTTGTCATAGGTGTCCCCCTGGGAAAGCAAAGTACAGCAGACGGGCATAATCAAACCCAGGGCAGGTTGTGTGCTGCTAACACGCAGTAGCAGAGCTGATAGCTTTGTTACCACTCACAGGAGGCATGGAGCCATATTTTCGTACAACGGTAAGCAACAGGATAATTGCAAATGCAATTTACAGGGTTTTTTGATATACTGGCTTCGGTCCTGTAAGATTCTTTTAACTATTGCTGAAAAGCCTGTAAATAACTACATAATTGCCTGAGATCATGGGATTTTGATAGTGTCATTTATTGCTAAAAATTTATTTTTACAAAGTAAATTCAGGGTTTTAGATGTGTATACAGCTTTTACAAATCAATAAAGATGATTGTACAAGAGTGTAACTATTTTCAGACCAATTGGATTCAAGGTTATATTCTTTTAAATATTGTTAGTCTGCATGCACATTGGCAGTAAACTCATTACTTTTAGTATTCTGTACTATTTGTATGATGATCATGTCTTCTTAAGGGTTAGGTTATTAGGGAAAAAAATCAGATCTAATCAACCAATTGATGAGTTAAGTCCATTAAAAGCACAAAAGAACAGTTGATCTATATCTCATACATATATACACATACATGTGTATATTTATAGATTGATATACAAATCTTATTTCTAATATTTTTGATTACCACTTGTACTGAAACAATAATTTATGGAAAAGATAGGATATTTAACAAAAGTGAAGACAATAATATTTGTGTCAAAATAATACAGCTCAGTAAAAATGAAGTTTAGTGTTTTGGCCCAAATGTTTGTTTTTTCACTGGATTCTGAACATAGTAAATTCAAGAGTACCCTCTTTTGAGTGTTTTAATAAAGTAGCATGTGAAAAGAAACTATTTTAAGTCTGACAGTAAATGGCTTATTTTTTTAAATAAATAGTAAATGAAGCAGTGTTATTAGCATGTTACAAATGTTTCCAATTCACAATTTCTCTATTATACTTTGATAGCTTTCCTTCAGAAAATTCTGAAGTTATAGTTGCAATAATAATGCCGCCAGCATTCGTACCAGCATATGGTTCACATGCAAATAATTCTTTCCCAAAATTGTTTTCTGAGCTAGGCTTTTTCTTGTTGCTCTGCTTCCTGCACCCAACCAGCAGCACCCTTCAAGGGTGGAGGAGCTCGTCAGTGTGTTCTTCTGCAGTTTGGAAGCCAACCCCCAAATCTTTGAGGGTTTTTGTTGTTTTTTTTACTATTCTCTCTGGATGGAATGTTTTTACTATTTATTCTCTTTGAGACGGAAGTGACTATGCTTTTCCATTTGGATCTACTACTTAAAGGATTTTTCTTGTTAAAATCTTGGAAAGCCTGAGAATTAAAGGCACATTGGTTTGGTTTGGTTTTGCTGTTTTAAGACCATATGCAAATAAAACTGCTTCTCACTTACACTGCTTGAACTAGAAAGTAAGATGTTTAATGTAGGTTAATACTAACTAATAAGCACAAAAGAATTATGTATAGGAAACCAGATTTAAGTGTTTTAGGTCAAATGTAAAGTAAGCTTTTTATTTGGTACAGATGACTCATGGGAAAATTGTGTCGGCTTGGTCTGCATGTTTAATGACGTTCTTGCATATCGATAGCTACGTGACTTTTAAATAAGATGTCCATAAGTAAGCCAGAGTTTTAAATGACAAAGTCCATAAATTACTGGAAAAATTTTGTTGTCTGTTTCTATTAACTTAAAATTTATAATCCTGTATCACTAAATTGCACATTGCCTTTATTTATTTATGCTCTGGTTTTGGTTTACAGTGTAATAATACCTCATTTTTTTAAAAAATAAAATACCATGATTGTTACATTTCATTAATTTAAACACCTAGAAAATTCATGTAGTTCCTTTAAAAAAAAAATTTGTTAGTGAATTCTTGATTTTTGTATCTGCCATAGTAAATTAAAGTATTGCACAGTATTTATCAGTATTTACAAATGTCTTGTCCTTTTTTAAATCTTTATTTAATCATATTTTTGTCTGTGCGATCAGAAGTTTTTACCAGTCCCTCTTTTGTACAAATCTGTATTGTATGAAACTGTTAATTTCTGGAAAAAATTTTTTGAAACATTAAAGTTATACAGCCAGTCTGGCTTCAATTCATTTTTGGAACACTAGTCAATTCATTGAAACTGTGTTTAAAAACTCCTTTAGGCAGATAGTGTTCTTGGCCTCTCAAACTGGTGCTTATGGAAATGGTCCATGCACCGAGTCAGAAAATATACTGTTGTTAACTCGAAGGCAAATCAACTTCTTTAGCTTTATTTTCAATATAAAATTATGTATATCCAATATCTGGATAATCACACCAATTCCTTGAATTTTACTGAAAGCATTCTCTAATTATTGGAGACATAATAAAACATATACTGTATTTTTCTCATAGAATGTGCCCATGTTAATAACACACATTCATACAAAGTGCGTAGAGAACTATCATGCGAAGGTGTTGCACGGTTTGCAAAAAACTGTGTAACATTATTTGCTTAAAAATATACTCATTTGGTTAAGGTTATGAATGTATTGTTAACATCTTTTGCATCCATATGAATCCTTAAATGTTGATAATTCTTGAGAGAGGTGTGTTCAAATGGATGTGTTATCAGGAGGGACCACTCCCAGAGAAGGACATCATACTTGGTAAAGTGGAGAATCAACGAAAAAGAGGAGGTCCTCCACAAGGTGGATTCACACAGTGGCAGCAACAATGGACTCCGAGGGAACAATTCAGTGTTTCCTTCTGTTGTACATTTATAACACTTATATTGTGCATTTATAACTCTGAGAAGGAGTCGGAATCGACTTCGACAGCACCTGACAACATTTCCTTGAAGTTTAGTTAGATGTTCTTAGATGGCTATTAAGTTTATTCTTCTTATATAAGCTAATGAATTGAATCTTATACTAATAAAGCAATCTTCTCTATGTTTAATAACTTCCCCCTCCCCCCTCAGGAGTGGCTGGTGGGTTTGAACTGTCAACCTTTCAGTTAGCAGTCCAGTGCTTATCCTACAGAGCCACACCAGAACTCCAGTTATCTTAATTGTTGTTGTTAAGGCCATCAAATGGGTTCCTACTCGTTATTGTTGCTGTTCTTGTTAAGTGCCATCGAGTCAGTGCCAACTCAGCGACCCTATGAGAACAACAGAACAGAAAGCTGCCAGGCCCTGCACCAACCTCACAATTGTTGCTACACCCGAGCCAATCCATCTCATTGGAGACCTCCCTCTTTTTCTCCGACCCTCCACTTTACCAAACCTGGTATCTTTCTCCAGGGACTGGCCCCTCCTGATAATATGTCCAAAGTATGAGAGACGAAGTTTGGTCATCCTGGCTTCCAAGGAGCACTCTGGCTGTACTTCTTCCAACACAGATCTGTTTGTTCTTTTGACGGCCGATGATACTTTCAATATTCTCCAACACCATAACTCAAAAGCATCAATTCTTCTACGGTCTTCCTTATTCACTGTCCAGCTTTCACATGCATATGAGGTTATTGAAAATACCATGGCTTGGGTCAGGCGCACCTTAGTCCTCAAACTGACATCTTTGCTCTTCAACACTTTAAAGAGTTCTTTTGCAGCAGATTTGCCCAACACAAATCTGCTCAAGGTATCATCTGATTTCTTGACTGCTGCTTCCATTGTTGTTGTTGTTAGGTGCCATCGAGTGGGTACCGGCTCATAGAGACCAGACCCTATGCACAACAGAACGAAACACTGCTCGATCCTGGGCCAACCTCACTATTGTTGCCACTCTTGAGCCCATTGATGCTGCCACTTGGCCAGTCCATCTCACTGGAGCTCTTCCTCTTTTTCTCTGACCCTCCACTTTACCAAACATGATATCCTTCTCCAGCAACTGGTCCCTTCTGACAATATGTGCAAAGTATGAGAGACGAAGTTTGGCCATCCTGACCTCGAAGGAGCAGTCAGCCTGCACTTCTTCCAACACAGATCTATTGGTTCTTTTGGCAGCCCATGGCACTTTCAGTATTCTCCTCCAACACCATAACTTAAAAGCATCAATTCTTCTATGGTCTTCCTTATTCACTGTCCATCTTTCACATGCATATGAGGTTATTGCTACTTCCATGAGTGCTGATAATTGATCTGAACAAAATGAAGTCTTTGACAACTTCAGTCTTTTCTCCATTCATACGTATGTTGTTTATTGGTCCAGTGGTGAGGATTTTTGTTTTCTTAACATTGAGGTGCAACTCATAGTGAAGGCTGTGGTCTTTGATATTCATCAGTAGTCTAAGTCCTCTTCAATTTCAGCAAGTAAGGTTGTATCATCTGCATATTGTAGGTTGTTAATGGATCTTAATGTCACATTCTTCTTCATATAATCCAGTTTCTCAGATTATGTGCTCACCATACAGATTGAATAATTTTGGTGAAAGAATACAACTCTGGAGCACAACTTTCCTAATTTTAAACCATTTGATGTTCTCTTGTTTTGTTCGAACAATTGCCAGTTGGTCTATGTGCAGGTTCCTCATGTGCACATTTATGTGTTCCAAAATACACGTTCTTCGCAATGTTGTCCATAGCTTGTCATGATCCACACAAAAACCTTTGCATAGTCAATAAAAGCATAGGTAAACATCTTTCTGGTATTCTCTGCTTTCAACCAAGATAAATCTGACATCAGCAGTGGTATTACTTGT